ACCTCATAGCATGGAGCTGAATGAGGCCGCAAGGCTCAAATCGGCTGGGAATAACCATGAAGTCCGCCCCAGCGGTGAGCAGATGAGCCAAGGGTGCATTGAACTTGCACACGGCACGGAACCTCTCCGGGTACCTCTTTTCCAGCGCCCTTAACTCCGACTCAAACCTCTTCTTCCCCGTTCCCAGCACGACCATCTGCAGCGCGTTCTCCTCCTGCATCAACTTGGGAAGTGCTGCGCACAGCACATCCGACCCCTTCTGTTCCTCGAGTCTGCCTATGAAGGCAAACAGCGGCACGTGCGGAAGAACAGGCAGCCCCACCTCAGCTTGGAGAAGCTCCTTCAATCCAGGCTTGACTTCCAGAACGTTCGAGGCGTCGTAATTGACTTCAAGGTACTTGTCGGAAGCGGGGTCCCACTCTTGCACGTCCATACCGTTCACGATACCGACAATACCCCTCCTCTGCACAACGTGATTGAGCTCCATGCCCTTGTCTTCGCCAGAAACCAACTCCTTTGCATAGTTAGGGCTTACGGTGAGCAGCACATCGGCCTCCTCGAACCCTGCCTTCATCCAGTTGATCTTCGGCCCGACGACGGGCTTCTCGTACCCATCAAGAAAGCCGAAAGAGGGCCTCAGCTCCTCCCCAAGGTTGAGGAGGTCGAAGTCCGTGGCAGCAAAACGGCCCTGATAAAGAACGTTGTGCACGCAGAAGGCGACCTTGGCATTCACGAACTGTCCGCGTGGTTTGTATATGCTCTTGAGGTAGCAAGGAACAAGCGCGCTGTGCCAGTCGTTCGCTACAAAGATCACATCGTCGCCATAGGGACCCTGGAAGGGGGAGGGAGAGTTGCTGCTGCTGCTGCTGCTGCTGCTGCTGCTGCTGCTGTGCTTGAAGTCGAGAAGTCGAACGGCCTCGATAGCCGCCTGATTGAACAGACTAAAGCGCAGTTGATTGTCGGGGTAATCTTCCCCAGTCGTCTCTCCGTAGATCTTGCCGCCCGTTTTGCCCCAAACCCTGGCAAGGAAGAGAGGATGGTCCACGAAAACACGGTCGACACCACGCTTATGGCAGTGGAAGAAGCGCACAGTCTCCGTCCTCCCGCCCACCACCACGTCCGCCGTGACACTGGTGTCCCAAGCGTCCCTGTACTGATCATACCGAGGCGCCACGGTCATCACCCGATGACCACGGGCGACAAGCGCGGGCGGCAGTCCAGCCAACACATCGCCAAGGCCACCCGTCTTACTCCAAGGGCCGACCTCAGCGGAGACAAACACGATCTTCATCCCCGCCTCGCAAGAAACAACCCCTCTGCTGGGACGCGACGTCGAGGCCCCACGCAGTGTCACGGACTTCATTTGCTCTGCAAAGGACGATACGCTTCGCGCGCCGCCAAGAGGAGGAGATCCCGCCAGTTTCGGATAACGTTTGCAGCTGCGCAGGCCCTGGAATGCGTCCATACCAGGCAAGGCGATCGTGCATGGGCGGCATGCATCCACGTCAGAAGAGAAAGGCGGAACGCAGCAGCCCGGGCACACGTGACAAGAGCCCGCCGTCGCGACGAAGGACGAAGAGGAGGAATCATGGCGTAACAACGAGATGGACGAACCAGAGACAGCGACGTACAACTTGCCTGCAGGAACAGACAAGGACGCCGCCGCCGCCATATCCGTAGAGCTTGTATAAACCTGGTGAGCAGCACTACCTATTTCTCACAGTCGCACAGAATTACCGTCACTCACGCTATGATTACGTCCGTACGTACGCGGCGAGCCGAAGCCGACGGAACGGATGGAAGACGACCGACCCCACCAAAGTGCACAGAAGAATTGCCACGGCCGATGGTAGCTTACAACCGCGCAACCATCCCATACAACATACCTTCTCAGGCTGCTGCGCTCCTCGTGTGGAAGTCACGTTGTGAAGGGGGTACAACCAGCAGGCATGGATGGACAGCCAAGAGCCCCCCCAACAATGAATGCCTGTGTGTCCCCAGCCCGGTCAGGACCCTGCAAACACGAAAACAACGATGTATAA